GTAGGGGGTAGGGTTAGTGAGTTATGTTAGAAGGTTCATATCACACAAGGAGCTACCTGGGGAGGAGCTAGTTGAGCCACAGGGGGCCTGGGTCAGAGCAATGCTGCAGAAAGGCAGGAGGAGGCCAGAGAGACAGCCACAACAGGATGTGAGGAGAATGCTCACAAGCCCTCGGAGCTGCTGCTCAGGTAGCATCCAGATGCACATCCCTTATGCGGAGGGCTTCAGCCAGCCCTGCTCTAAAAGAAACACATACCTCGTTTGTCAACAATAAGGCTGGTTCTCAACTGCTGTCGGCCTACTGGCTCCTGGCATGGTGTGGGTGAGTGATGTAAGGGATATAACGGGGTGTTTCCTCCCAGTAGGCATCTACTCAGGTGTTACAGGGCAGGCTCTGGAGTTTACCAGGCACAAATCCTGCCCCAAGTCGTAACAGCTGAGTGACCTTGGACAGTTTCTAAAACCATGTCACTTGTAAAGTAAGGATAATAGTACCTGCCTCATGGAGTTGTTACGGGGTTTAAATGAGTTAATAAGCAGAGCTAACTAACATATGTGCTGGCACATAGAAAGTATTCAATAAATGTTAGCTGCTATTACCATTACAATTATTATTTCTATTTTGCAGACTCAGAGAAGCTAACTGATTTGCCTAGGTCACACATTTCAAACAGTGGCTGAAGGAATAAATACATGCCAGTATTCAGTATATGCACAAAACCCAGTGGTTAGAGCATTAGCCAAATTTAAATTAGGCAGACCAGCCATCCCCTTCTTTAACCAGACTAGATAAAGATGAGTTTGCACTACTTAAAAGAACAGCACGTACTAAGGTAAAAATCACTCTCCATTACATGCCAGTACTCGACGTTCCCCTGCAGCAAAGATGACTAAACCTTATCCAATCTTATCTCCCCCTGAAGTTAAGTCCACAATTCAAACCCACCTTCCACAAAGACCTAAGTACTCACGGCCATGTCAACTTATGGCCCTGTTGCACCCCTTGTCTCTCACCCCCACCTCTCTGCAGTGTGCATCCTCTTCCATCTACCTGCTCCATCCCTGAGTGCTCACCCCATCCGATCTCTTCCTCCTCAAGATCTTTAACTGAAATGTACATAGCCTAAAGGCTCCCTGTGCCTGTCATTTTGGGGAAAGCAAGATAAACTCTTCCCAGAATGCTCAGCCCGAGTGAGCAGGTGAGATATTCTCAGAGACAGCCCAACACAATATGGAACGCAGCAGAACCTAAGAGAATTGAAGAAAAATCAATGAGGACATTGCTGCCAGGTATGGGGAGGAAGGAAAACAAAATGAAGAAATAGTTCTGCAGGATCAAGGCCCCGAACTGGGTCCTAAAAGCAGAGGAGGATTTGGACATGTGAAAATTGAGGGATGGACTAGGTCAAGGGCTGGTACAGGAAATGGACACCCCTGTGACTGGAAAGTCCAGGGACACAGCAAGGTCTGGCAGACAGGCAGGCTGAATGTGGAGACCACTGCACACCAGGCCAAGGCACCCCAGCAAGGCAACTAAGAGGAGCAAGACTGACAGCAACATTCACTGAGTGTTTGCGACGTACCATGAATAGATTGGCACACTTTTTCCAATGCTTTAACTCATTTAATCCATACCTCAACTCTTTGATGTAGGGGCTACTATAATCCCAGTTTTATAGATGAGGACACCAAGGCATAGAGAGCAAAAGAAACTTGACCACAAGTCACAAAGCCAGTAGGGAATACTTAGCACATGAAATCTGGCTCTGGAGTCTGTACACTAAACTACCCAATCAAACTGCCTTTTAGGACAGCGTGGGAATGAAGGGATGTAGGCTCCAGTGTGACATGAGGACTCAGTGGGATGGTGCTTGCAAGCAGTCTGCAAACCTGTAACTCCAAGGCCACAAATGCAGGTTACAGGCTGCCATTAATGTCTACAATGGACCTGTTAGCAGAACATCCTGAGACAGGTCAGGGCTAGAGAGGGGATCCTGCGCCACAGGGGACCGTGTGAATAGCAGAGGCTAGGACAGACACTTATCTTTATAGCGTGCAGGAAGAGAATCAAGAAACCAGCATGACCCAAAGGCTGAGGGAAGAAAGGATTTCAAGGGATGAAAAACAGGTGAGGTTAAAAGCTTCAAAGGGGCTGAGTCAGGTGGCTCATGACTGCAATCCAAGCTCTTTGGGAGGCTGATGCATGTGGGTCACTTGAGCCCAGGAGTTTGAGATCAGCCTGGTCAGCATGGCAAAAACTCATCTCCACTAAAAATACAAAAATTAGCCAGGTGTGGTGCACGTGCCTATAGTCTCAGCTACTTGGAGGCTGAGGCAGGAGGATCACCTAAGACCTAGGAGACTGCAGTGAGCCATGACTGCACCACTGCACTCCAGCCTGGGCAAGCGTGAGACCCTGACCAAAAAGAAAAAAAGACTGCAAAAGGGCCCAAAACAACCACTCAGGAATAAGGATGGGCAGATGGGCCCCAGGAACTCAAGACAAAGTTTTGGAGAAAAATTTGAGAAGAAACATAAAGAAGGATGGTAGGGAGAAAAGCCAGAGGGCAGGTACTAAGAATGGAGCAGGAGATGGGAGAGAGCGGGGAGGCGGGCAGGAGGGAGAAAAGACAGAGGTATACGGACCTGGGTACCAAGTAAAGACACATGTAGATTGCCTAGCAAACAGCAGGCTCACCACACATGTTTTTACCTCTTCCATTCTTCCTCTCCTAAATCAAGCCTAAGGTTTTCAGGGTGAGGTGGGGGAGACTAAGGACAAACAGCACAAATAATATTTAATATTCTGGTGACAGAACCGGGTAGAGGTGAGAAGGAATGGCAGCTGGCACTAAGGAACGGCTTCCTGTGTGCAGGCATTTTACATGCACCATCTCCCTTAATCCCCACATGGACTCCATGAGACAGGCACTGCCATTACACCAAGAGGAGAAGCCTAAGGTCAGAGGAGTCAAGCACATGTCCAAGGCCACACGGCCCAAACCCAAACCATAGGATCTTCTGCCACCAGAGGCCAGAATCTTGTTCATGGTAAGAGGCCAAGAAAAGGGACAAAGGAGAGGTCCACTTGCTTTCTCTTCACTGGGAGGAGAGGAGGAGATGGTGGGGAAAAAGACAGGACATTTTGAGCGGGAAGAAAGAGATGCTGAGGGGGGTTGAGTCAGAGCAGGACTTAATTTCATGAGAGGGCAAAGAAAAGATAGGGTGGGTATTTGGGATAAATCTGAGTCTCATGATAAGGTGACAATGAAAAAAGATGGTGGGGAAGGATAACATGCCTGTGTCCCTAGCTCCCAACTAAACCTCAGGATCTAGAAAGGATATTTTACTTCCCTGCAAGTGCCTACTTTCGTTATCATGACGCTTCCTAAAAGCGCTGCATATAATCACGGGGCAGAAACTGTTTCTTTAACATTGACTTTCTCCTACCACAGTGAGAGTTGATGATAAAATCACAAAGAAAGCTTAAAGATACATTATAACCCTTACACCAAAGAGAGGTACTAAATATCTAGTTTTTACCTTTTCATATGCAGTTTTGTTAATACGGCCAAGTCTTTCTATGGTGCTTGTCCATCTTTTAGCATATAAATGCTACAGAGATTGTTGGTGTGAAAGGATAAATCTGAAAACACTGCCACTTCCTTTTCCTGCCCTGTGGCATGCAAACCACTTCTGCAAATAGCAGACAAACTCGTGAGTAATCATCATTTTATAAATCATTTGAAATGGATCCTTTAAAACACCATCTGTTGATCTGCTTAACTTTCCTATGAAAATAGGGCTTCAGCTCAGATATTCTGGAGGTGCCAGGAGGTAAATGCCAACCTGAATTCAAATGTATTAAATATTTAGAGACTTACAGAATTTTAGAACAGAGGAATCTTTGAGATCACCTAGTTCAACTGTCTTACTTTTCACCAGAGGCAAACATAACCTAGAAAAATTTAGTAACTTGCCCCAACTGGAACCACCATGAAGCCTAAACTAGAACCAGGATGTTCACCTCCTAACTCCCAGGTTAGTGCTTTTCTACCAGACCTGTTCATTCTTCAGAGGGTGGAATAAAGAACAAATTTAACTACAGTTTTAACTTATTGTTTTAATTCACTGTCTACATCTACCATCAAAACCAAAATGCTTCTATAGACCCAGGTTCAGATGATACAGGCAATTTCAAATCCTGCCCAGGAAATTTCCAAACCTTCTAAATACGATCTACACGCTGTTTTAAAGACTTACCAATAAAGTGATCTGAGTAACAAAACACGGACTGAAAGATTAAATTTTGTATTTTCAAAAATATTTTGGAATTCCATTGATATGGAAATCAAATCTAACACCCAGTGAATTTTTTTTTAAGTCTTGCAAGCACGGAGAGCATATTATTCAAAACTGCTCAGGAGCAGCAATGATTATTTTAAGCTCATGATTCAACGGGTACATTAATTAAAAACTCCACCAACCCAAATTGACAGATCTTGATATCAATGGGACCAGAATAATTAAAATAATAGTTGTCTTATAAAAATAGATTAAAGGGGTGAACAACAGCAGATGTCAGAGGGAAAATGACAAGCAAGCAGGTGTCGTGGGAAATGAGATGCATCTAAGGGGCAGCTTTTATGGATTTTTAATAAAACGATGATGGTGGAAATACGGGCATATGGGTAGTGTCAAGAAGAGCTTGTTCACAAATACGGAATCTGATTTGATTTTTGGAAGCTGGGTGAGAAAACTTGGTTAATAATTCCTCGCTGAGGAGTAGCGGTGGAGAAAGGGAGAAGAGACCTCAAGCGCCAAAGCGCCAAAACAACGCTGGGTGACCGGGAAGGGGCCGAGGCAGGGAGGGGAGAGGGGTCAGGAGGTGTACGGAACGCGGAGGCAGCGGGTCTCCCACCGGCCGGCGAGAACTTGACAGCAGTCGCTGGTGTTTAGTGCACCCTTTCCCTCCCAGCTCCCGCCGGAGCTGCGCTCACCCGCGGCCGGCTCTCGTGACCCCTCGGGATGGCTGACATGCGCCCCACAAGATCGACGTTCACCTCTACCTTCCTCTTCTACTTCCAAGCAAACCGGGAGCTCTCTGGGATGTCAACACCCGGCAATCGCCGAGCGGAAACCTTTTCTTCCCTGACATCTGTCAAACCCAAAGCGGGAGCCGGGCTCGCTGCGCCCTCCGCGGAGCTCCCGGGCTCCAAGGATGGCCCTCGGGCTCCAGGCCACATCACCAGGCTGACGCGCACCTGCCCGCTGACCCCATAGGGCATCCTCGCGGGCTGCCCGGGAGCTGGACGGCACAAGCCCCACGAAAGTTCGCAGACTAGGGTCGGCCCGGGGCTGGCCGGGGATTCCCGGGTGCAGTGCCAGCCCCGGCGGCGGCAACAGGGCCGAAGGGGCGGGCGGACTCAGGCTCCCCAAGCCCGACGGAGACGCCCTCCCCGCCCCCATTCAGCCTCTGGAGCTCCCAAAAGGGAAGTAAAGGGGGGAGGAAGGGCAGACGGCGGCACCGTTCGTCCGACGCCCTTGGGGGACAGCCGCCAGGGATGGTCCCCTCGGGGATCCCCGAAGCTCCCGGGGATACATCTAGGAGTCCTCCTTGGCCGAGTCACTGCCCGCAAGTGCAGAGCTGTCCCTTTAAGAAGCAGCTGGCCGCCCCCTCCCCCTCCAGGTAGCGATGCCCGCGGAAGGGCGGTGGGTACTCCCGCGGACACTTTCCCGGCCCCTTTAAGCGCGCCTGCGGCACCTCTGCCCGCCCTAGCCCGCAGCGCCAGCCCTGGAGAGGAGGATGGGGGCGGACGGGCGCGGCGCCTTTAAGGGGCGCAGCCTCCCCGCGGCCCGGGTGGGGGCAGGGAGCGGTCACGGGCCCTTTAAGGCCGGCAGCGGGCACGTCGGGCAGGGTTCTCCGGCGGCCGGGTTGCTCCCGGGGCGGCGGCAGGGGTGCAGTGCCCGCGAGGGTGCTTACGGCCCCCGACGGGGTGCGCGGGGCCGCGCCGCTGGCCGCCGCCGGCCTGACACTCACCGTGGCTCGCCGGGAGCGCCCGCGCCCGCGCCCGCACTCGGATCCCGCGGCGGCGGCGGCGGTGAGTCCGGCGCGGGTAAACAGGCACCTCCGTCCCTGACCTACTTTCTGCCTTCCCTAAATGTCGCACCACTAACCTACTTTCCGACCAATCCGCTCCCCGCCGGCCCAGGCCCGGCCCCCCGCCCACCAATCGCTGTGCCCAACCCCCCTTCCCCGCCCACCAATGGAGGAGCCGCGGAGCCCGGATACCTGCCTCTTTCCGCCAGCCAATCCGAGCGCCCGAAGGGAGCCGGTCCCGGCGGCCGCCCCCAGCCAATCCGCGTGCCGTTCGGCGGCCCGCTGGCCAGTTGTGTGGCGGCTAGAAAGGCCGCTGACCAATGGCGAGGCGGCGGGGGCCGGTTTACCTGCTACTTTCCCGCCACCAATCATTTGGGGCACAGGAGCGCACGCCCCGAGGAGAGGACCAATCCGCGCGCGCTCCTTGGGTTTCCTCGCCCCTGCCCTCTCTCTTTTCCCTCAGGTCTCCCACTCGCTGTGGCCACTGCGGTGCCCACGCTGCGCTCCTCAGGGTCACCCGGGATGTCCCTCTTCTCTGGGTCCCCTGCCAGCTGGCGTTTGGCGGCCCGCCCTCACCCCCCTCCTCCTCCTCCTTGCCCTTCTCCACTCGGGGCACTCCGACGAAAAGCAGCAGTTCTGACTCCCCTTCCTCCAGCTCCATCTAGGAAAACCAATTTTAGGATCACTGAGTGCCAAATCCTTCCTAAAACCCCTGGTTTGCCAAAGTCCAAAGGAGAGAACGAATTCTTAGTATTTCTAGAAGGCGTTTCCACTCCGAGGACTGCAAATGTTCTCACGTTCTTTGCGTTCGTCATGACCTCCAAGTGTCCCACTGGAGCTGTCATTCCCGTTGTTCTAAAAGAATACTCGAGCGCGGAGCGATTCCATTGCATCTCCTTCCAGTAGCCAGGTTTTGACCACTTACAGTGGGGCAGACACCAGCCCAGCGGCAGCGCTCTCTGCTGCAAAAAGCTGTCTATGGAGGGAGACGGAAGGAAAGAGTTACAGAAAATAAAAATTTGATAATAACATGCGACTCATTTGCTGAGAGGACAGAGAAATGGACTGATGTTTGCATCTCAGGCGCTTAGTAGAGGGCCTTTAGCACAAAAAACTCCCCGCTCTTCTAGATGTTAAACTCCCTGAATAGAAGGACAGCGTCTTCTTTTTCGTTATCCATCATGCCCACTCCCCTTTAGCGCCTGCCGGGGTCGGGTGGAGTGGTGAGGGCGGGGCCGGTACCTAGCAAGTGCATCATAAATATCTGTTGGCTGGATACATGAACAAATGGAATTAAATCAATTGGCCTAATTCTGTTACCCAGACTGGCCCCTGTGACTTTAAAATTCTAGCCTGGTAAGTTCCTTGAACACAGGCACTACGGTTTTTTGGGGTTTTTAAAAATCTTTGTAACACCATTGCCCATCCCCAGCTTATTGACAGGCACCGAGTGCCCAATATGTGCTTGTGGTCTGAATGCTGACTGTTTTCAAGGTCAACCAACTTCATCAGTAGCTTGATGTTTTTCCTAAGTTTACACACAGATGGAATCTTATTGCTACTTGGTCTCTGCCCGCATTTCATGAGGAGATCACTCTAGGTAAGTGGGATTTAAGCGAAGCACTTGACAAGATATTGTGGACAAGATGAAGAAATATGAACTGGATATCATTAACTGAACTAATAACTGGTTAATTAACCATAACCTAAAGATGCTGATTAATGAGTCCACGTTGACCAAAAGGAAGAGTGCAGGGAATCAATATTCCAGCAGCACCTACCACATACCAGACACTGTGCTAAGAAGTACTTTCCCCACATTTTCTCCCTCAATCTTTATAACCACACTGTGAGGAAGTTTTTATTGCCCCATTTTACAGATGAAGAAACTGAAACTCAGAATTTAGTCAGCTGGCTGAAGGTCACATAGTAGGTGGCAGAGCCATGATGCAAACCAGAATTTTTATTTTTATTTCAAAGCCTATATACCATACCAGTTCCCCTCAGAAAGACAGAAGCCTCTCTTCTAGGTCAAGACATCAGAACTTTATCAGTGTCCTGAAGGAAAATACAGAAGATTTGCATCACATGTCCAGATAACACAAAGCAAGGAGGGAAAGATATGCTATTATATAACACTAGCCACATACAATATTGGAGCAGTGGGCTGACTCTAACAGGAATAAATGTGGAGTCCCACCCTGTGTGAAGCCAGCTGGAGGCAGAGGTGTCTTAGATGCATATAGGAGCAAGATAAAGGGTCTTAGGTGACAAATAATCTGAGTCCACAGTTAATTGTGGCTGCCAAAATAAATAAATGCTCTTAGGGCCAGTCGTGGTGACTCACGCCTGTAATCCCAGCACTTTGGGAGGCAGAGGCGAGTGGATCACAAGGTCAGGAGTTCGAGACCAGCCTGGCCAACATGGTGAAACCCTGTCTCTACTAAAAATAAATAAATTAATTAAAAAATTAGCCAGGCATGGTGGTGCATGCCTGTAATCCCAGCTACTTGGGAGGCTGAAGCAGGAGAATTGCTTGAACCCGGGAGACAGATGTTGGCAGTGAGCCGAGATCATGCCACTGCACTCCATTCTGGGCAACAGAGCAAGACTTTGTCTCAAAAAATAAATAAATAATAAAAATAAATGCTCTTAGGCTGCATCAGTGGAAGTCTGACATGTAAAGCAAGATATGTGTCATTGTGCTGCCCAGTGTTGTACCCACATGAAGTGTTGTCTGCAACTAAGACGTTGCAAAAAGAAATTATCTACATGCACAAGTAGAGGGACCAGGATGTAAAGCCATTAGAAACTATGTCATATGAGGAAATATTGAAAGAAACAGAAGGGTTTGCCCCAGGGGTACAAGGTAACTGTCTTGATATATGTGAAGAACTGCCAAATAGAAGAGAAATTAAACTTATTCTTCAGGGCGTTAAGGGGCCACAGGAGAACCTATGAGTAGAAACTCTAGAATGAATTAATACGAAGAATTTTCTGACAGCTGGAGCCTCATCTGCCTTATCAATTAAGTTTCCTGTCACAGAAAATGTCCAAGTGGGAATCGGATTACCATGCAGTGGGAGGGGATGAAATAAGTGTCTTTTTGGACTCTGTTCTTTTGAGATTCTCATCTTGTACCCTGGCTTTCCTCTTTTAAAGGTTATCACCCTGCCTTATTCTACCTTCAGTGGGCAAGCAACTGTCTTCCCTCACATGCACCTGTTTTTCCCTATGTAATTACACTTTGTGTTTCTCTCTGTTGGAGATTCCAAACACGTCTTTCCACTACCACCTACCTTCCATTTTTTACTTTCCAGAATACTGAACTTTCCATTCTTAGGGCACTGCTAAGGTCAAAGTGTTGTTCTCAATGTAAATTTTACTGGGCATGAGTAGAATCATGCAGATAAAGGAAGGTAAGAGAGAGCATTTATTTGCACCTACTGTGTACCAGATGCTTAAAATACATTATTTAATATAATCCTCACATTAACCCTAGCAGTTGATATGCTTGCCCTCCACACTTGCTAGCTGGATGACTTTTATCAAATTGAGGTACACACTCTTTGTACTTCAGTTTCCTCATCTGTAAAAGGGGGGGTAATCTAGTATCTATTTTACAGGTCTATTATAAGAGTTCAATGTGATGATAGATGGAAAGCCCTGAGCACAGTGCCTGGTATACAATTAAGACTCAATATATATTAGGTATCACTCTTAACAATTCAATGAAATAGATATTTCTTGCTCCCATTTTACAGATGAAGTTATTGAGGATAAAGTACTATAATCCACAGTAGTTTTCCTGAGTCTGATCCAATGATTGGATCCATCAGAATTACCTGGGGAGTTTGTAAAAATACAGAATTCTGAGTCCCACTCTGGAAGATTCTGATTCCATTTCTTTGGGATTTGACATTTGTGAGTGGTTTGATCTGTTAACCAAGGTTAACATCTGGGTGTAAAAAAAAAAAAAAAAGGGAATTTAAAAAAATCAGGCATTAATGAGTTAACCAGTGTTTATAGCTTTTTCAGCTGCTTTTGAAAAGAACTTCCTTGGCTCTTTTTTGAATGGGATGGCCATAGCAGCTCAGAATGGGAGAGCAATAATACCTCATTTGGAATGTGTCCTAGACCGTGTAATTAGGCTTTAGACTAGATCTTGCTTGCAGACATGGCCAAGATTCCAAAGATCTTGGTGCTCAGATGTGAAAGGGGCTTTTCCATTTGGCTAGAGGGAGCTAAAGCACCAGTGGCCACATGGCTTCTCAACAGAAGCTCTGAAGAACAGATAGACACTGTCTTTGAAAACCTGGCACCAATTTTATCTTGCTTCACTGGAATGAGCAGCACTAAAATTCACTTTCTGAAGAATATAAAAGAAAGGAAGAACCTATTCTAGTTAGTATAGTGAAGTGAAGTGTTCAGGCAAGCCATTTCAGAAATGCATTAACTCAAAAAAATTTACAATATGCTTTTGAAAAAGAAAGAAGGGATAGATTCGGGGAATTTGATCTAAGATATTATCAAAGTATACTATTAAACTGTGGTATTAAAATAGCCTGGTATTGGCATAGAAACAGACCAACAGACGAATTAAAAGGCATAAATTCCAGAAACAGACTCAAAGTGTATGAAAATCGAATTATAAGGTGAATTTTAAAGGATTGGTAAAAAGATGGATTTTTCAATAAATGCTATTGAAACATGTAGCTAGCCATATGGAAACAAATAAAACTTGCTCCCCACACTGTACTTACATTAAAACAAAAACCACAGGAATATAGAATTTAAGTACATAGACTCAAACCTATAAAAACACTAGAAAAAATAGGAGTAAAACTTCTATAATCTTCAAAGGCTCTTCTAAGCATAACACAAAATCCAGAGGCCATGAAAATAAAGGTGGATTTCATGCATGCACACACACACTCTCCATATGAACAAAATAAAGGAACAACTAGCGTGCAGGCACCACAACACATTATTAATGCGCCATATAAAAATTCCGTAAAAAGTCAGCAGTTGGGGTGGTGAGATGTAACCAGTGATGTCATTAAAATCTGTCATTGGTAGAAGAATTACTCCTGATAAAGAGCTACTCCTTATAACATTGTCTTACTTCATTGGCCCTCTCTTTCTCTTTCAGTGTTGTAAAAATAAAAGTTGATAATCACCAAGCACAATCTCCAGCATCAAAGCCTGTTCAGATCCTCTGCAGTGAACTCTAGGTCCTTTGTTCCACTCATAAAAGCTACGGACTCAAAATTTACCTAAGGAAAACTCTCATCTTGCTCACAGATGTGTGTGCATTGTAAGAATGACTGCTACCCAAATCTCTCCTTTCTCTTTGGAAGAACAAGAACATCTATTGCTTTTCTTTTCAGATTATGAAACCAATTCACGTTTGTGATCAAAAATTTTGGAGAGCATAAGCATAAAGAAGAAAATAAAAATAATTTATAGTTCTATTAAGCAGATATAACCCCCATTAAAATATCAATGCATTTTCTTTGTAACTATATCATATTTTGACCTAATTTTTTTTTCAAAATTAGAAGACAGAGTCTTGCTATATTGCCCAGTCTGGACTTGAACTTCTAGGCTTGAGTAATCCTCATGCCTCAGCCTCCCAAGTGGCTGAGACTATAGGCATGCCATCACACCCAGCTCTTTTGATCTAATTTTTATCACAGTAAAGTTTTGTCATCTTGCTTTTATAAAATTATCACAAGCATTCTCTCTTGTTATTGAGCCTCCTTCTACAACAGACTGTCTAATGGCTGCAGCATTTTTATTGTATGGAGAAACCATACCTCATTATGCAAAACTCTGTCATTGAAAACAATCACATTGTTTCTAATATTTCCTTGTTATACAGATAGCCCTGGGCTCACAATGGTTTCACTTATGATTTTTCAACTTTATGATTGGTTTATTAGGATATTCAATGTGTTTTCAACTTCCAGTATTTTTAATTTGTCATGGGTTTATTGGGACATAACCCCATCAAAAGTTGAGGCTCATCTGTAAACAGTTTTGAAAAGAACATTCTTTGGGATTTTTAAACCTCAGGGCCCTCTAGAAGCTAAGGGCTTAATGGGACTGGCCAATAGCTTTCCTAATCTACTTCATTACCACACTGGGCTTCAAAGAATCAGCTGGTATAGACAGAAAATAAAACTTACATATTTTTTTCTTATAAAATTTCAATGTTATCTCCTCCTGCTGCTGCTTCTCTCTTTGCCATAAAACTTATTTTAAAGACATGGAAAATTATATGCATTTGAGTTAAATACAAAACCACTAGTGACTACAGCTTGTTAAGTGGTCTCTGGGAAATTTATGAGCCAAAATCTGTGTCATAAATTGATAGTGCGCCACCTAATGAAAATTGACAATGAAACTTACTGTAAATAAAGCTATCCAACTCTTGAGTATGAATACGGTCCATTTAGTTTGGGTTGTATTATTGTTATTATTATTGTTTTTGACTCCTGCACTTCACGTACATTTTCTTTTATTCATCTACTGCTAAATCATTTGCACATTTACCAGACAGCAGGTGATATTACGTCTTAGCCTTTGGAAGATTTGGATAGGTGAGAAAGATGAAAATGAAAGTCAGCAGCCCAAAAAAAGGCAAGAAAGAAAAATTGCACACTGATCACCTCTGCCTGTAAATTTCCCACATTTCCATTGCCTGTGACCCATGAATCTGGCTCACACTTGCTTCATTGCTTAAAGGTCACTTCCTCAGGGAAAGCTTCCCTGACCTCCCAGCTATAAAAATCTACCACAACAGCACCTTGTACTTCCTCTTTCAAAGTGCTGTCAGACTTGTAATGTCTTGCCTTCTCATAAACTCTGTGAGGCAGGTGCCACACCTGCATGGTTCACTTGTATATCTCCCATAGCTATCAAAGCAGTAGCACATTCATGAGAACAAATATTATCTGAACAAAAGAATAAAAAACGATGAAGAGATGCAAAAGTGAGCTGTTTACTGCACGGGCACGCACGAGACATCACCTTCCAGAGGTACACATAGGATTTAAGGCACTGGCTTCAATTACCCCCTCATCAGAGAAAACTTCCTACTCCTTCTGAAATATTATAGCAGCCTCTGCATTTCACCTTTTTATCCTTCTTGAATTTTCCTTACAAAACATATTTATTTGTTGTATGCTTCCCCCAGTAAGGTCTGTGAGGGGAGGGTTATTTTTATTGCTATATCTCTCATACCTAGAATAGTCTCTAGGAGGTAGTAGTTGTGCAATAAATATTATTTAAATAAATGATGAATGTGATTCTAGAATGCAGCACATTGAGCCATTTGGGCTTTCTAAATAGTCACATCAACTTGCAGCAAAAAGCACCACATTCCATAACATAGGGAGAAAAAGAATAAATAATTTTAAAAATTGTTTTTCTAGTTGAGTTGTTTCTATCATCTGTTAGCCAATTTTTAGAGTTGCCACTATTCAAAATGTTTTTGGTTTTTTTTTTTGCCTCACAGTGAGTTGACAATATGTTTAAATAAAGTATCTCACTGGGTATAAAAAGAAGGAAACTTTTTCATAAGTTACAGTGTGAATGTTGATTTTGTTGTTGTTCAGGAAGTCCAATGATAAGGACTAGAAAGTTGATTCATTTTTGAGAAAACAAGTAGTTATATCAGCTGGATAAAATACAATGCTACCCTTTAAAATGTTAAAAGTGAAGTTAAACCATAAATATATAGAAAAAAGCCAAATAATGTCACATGCAAAGTAAAACTCCCATCGTATACAAAGTGACTGAAATTCTGGAAATAAGATGTGTACATAGGGACAAAGTTGTAAGTGTTCTAGCAGTATCTCAATGATTACATTTTATTGAAGAGGGTATGGGATAAACTTTCTGCTAAATTGATTATAATAAATAAAAAATAATTTTAAAAGGAAACCAGGAGATCCAAGTGTCCCAGCACACCTCATGGGTTTTCTGGCACCACTTCATGTTACTCTGGTTTTCTCTTCTTAGTCACCAGTTATCCACCTGCGGATTGAACAGCCTTTGAGATGACTTGCCCTGTTTGGACTGGGATCCGTGATCTGCTTTTATGCCTTAGAGTCCCTTTTACTCTCAATAGACTAATAGAGAAATACCAAGAGTTGTATTGTGAATTTCCAGTTCCAAGATGAAATTCAATATAATTTATAGCTTTAGTGGTGCTTGGCATTATTTTTATTTTTTAGACATTCTCCAGCTTGAATCCGCTTCCGGGGAAGACACTCTGCTGCCCAGGAACATTCATAGCTAAAGGTCTTCTGCCCTATAACACCACAACCCCACATTCTACACCAGGTCATTGCCTTAACCAAGAGCCCTGGTCTGGGCCCAAAGGGGGAAAATATGATTTTCTTTTTCCTGAGGCCATGGTCTTGGTGATTTCATGATTCCCAGGGACAATAGGCTTTGGAAATTAGGGTAAACCAGCTCTTCTCATATAATCCCTACCTCATCTACTCCTCCACTTTCTTCCAATGCAGAGTGCAATATTGGCACCTTGGAAGGTTGGCCATGATTCATGGTCCATTACAAGATTTAGGAGTTAATCTTTCCAAGTAGGTGAAACTAAAATAGTTGTTAACCTCCCTATTAAAATCAAACCTTTTCCCTCACCCCTAACTAATCCCAGGACTTGAGAATATAAAAGACAAAGAGCAATTTCATTGTACCAGGGGAAAATAGTACAGGTAAAACTCTCACTTTATTAAATTCTTCAGACTCGGTTTTAAGCATCCAGCTGTCTTCATTTGCAAGGCATTAAATATTTTCATATTCCACAAATGGGCCTATTGAACAATGATAACTGAAGTCTAATGCAACTATTTTTAGTATGGAAATTGCAATTAAAATGCAGTGGAACAGTAATCTTGCCCAAGCATGTCTGAGATCTACTTTCCAGCTTTTTCAAAACAATGTTTTCTATGTCTGGCCGCAGAGACTTGTTGCTTATTTTCCTTCTGCTGAAGAACAGGTAACACTTCACATTCTTTCTAAACCAAGTGAATATAGAGCTGAAATTGTGGTTTTGGCTAGACACAATCCTTCCTTCTTTCTCCATGTTTTCATTTATACGATCTAGGGGATGAAATTTGTTTCCTATATATAGTGGTATATTACCATGAACCAAATCAGTCTCCTAGGTAACTATCATCTATCTATCAATCTATCTATTTTTAAATTTAGGATAGCTTATTATGGTTGTTTAAGAAGAGACAGAAAACATACCTAATAAAATAATAATAATAAAACAAACACTTTTATGGTACTTACCACATGCCAAGAGATATTTGAAACACTTTATACTTATTAACTCAACCTAGCACAATTGACACAACTCTAGAGGTAAGTTTCTATGTTATCCTTATTTTACAGATGAAGAAACTGATGCATGGAGAAATTAAATATCTGCCTAAGGCTCCCATCAAGTAAATGGCAGAGCTAGAATCCAAACCCAGACATCTGCCTCAGAGGCGGCTGGCCTCACAGCAGCAACTTTGGGATGTAGGTATTACCTCTATTTTATGGGTGCTGGCCTCACAACAGAAGCTTTGGGATGTGGGTATTACTCCCATTTTATGGGTGAAGCCACTGAGGTTCAGAGAGGTAAAGCTATTCATTCAACATATTCTTACTAATAAAATATATGATATTCCTACTAATAAAAGGTATTATATATCCTGGGCCAGGCACAGTGGCTCACATCTGTAACTCCAGCACTTTGGGAGGCCAAGGCTGGCGGATCACCTGAGGTCAGAAGTTCAAGACCACCCTGGCCATAATGGTGAAACCCCATCTCTACTAAAAATACAAAAAAAAAAATAGCCTTTTGCGGTGGCACATGTCTGTAATCCAAGCTACGTGGGAGACTGAGGCAGGACAATCGCTTGAACTCAGGCAGCAGAGTTCACAGTGAGCCGAGATTGTGCCTTTGCCCTCCAGCCTGGATGACAAGAGTGAAACTTGATCTCAAAAAAAAAAAAGGTGGTGGGGGATTACATGTCCTTTTAAATACATCATGGGTTAGTGTTATGTTAGTATGAAAACACAATGAAAAGAGGACTTTTTCCACATTAGAAAGTATTTTCAAACTTCCAAGGGATCACCTTATAAATGATGGTCTGTAACTCACTACATTTGAAAGTTATAGATTAGTCAAGTTTAGAAAATAAAATCTGATTTTAAAATATTAAGTACCAGCCAGGCACAGTGACTTATGCCTGTAATACCAGCACTTTTAACATGGTGAAAACCTGTCTCTACTAAAAATACAAAAATTACCTGGATGTGGTGGCATGTACCTATAGTCCCAGCTACTTGGGAGGCTGAGGCAAGAGAATCATTTGAACCCAGGAGGTGGAGGTTGCAGTGAACCAAGATCATGCCATTGCACTCCAGCCTGGCGACAGAGTGAGACTCCATCTTAAAAAAAAACAACTAAGTACTACAGTCTTTTGAAAACATATTTTTCTTATTCTGCAAGAAGGGAAAGGATCTATTAGGTTGGTTGAACTAGAAAAAATTCATTTTCTCTCTTAAAAAATCCACACACACACACACACACACCAACCAAAGAACAAAAAAATCATAATTAATTTTTTTTTGGTTTGTTACTAACCATGCTCCTAAACTGCACTTATCCTCTGGAAGCAAGAAGTAAAAGGCCATTAGCTGCAATGCAGAAGCCTTTTTTTTTTTTTTTTTTTTTTTGAGGCTGAAAAGCTTTCCTCTTCAAGTTTCTGTTTGTAGGATAGTCCTTGGTGCCCGCTTGAACACACTGGGGAGAAGGCACTAGATGAACTCGCCTTGAGAATGAATCTGAAGATAAAAGCTCCCCGAAAAACAAGCAGTCAAAACTGATTATCACAGAATCTCACAGAATAATCCATCACTCTTTTTTTTGTTTTGTACACAAGAAGACCCAAAGGGCCTCATGTTTGTTTTCTATTTCTGCTTCAGCAAATTTAAAGCTGAAGTGTGATTTCCATGTTCAGCATTAATGAGGATTTTGCTGTGCTTTGAAATTTGCTGTCATCCCATTTCCTGTGTTTTACTGTTTTTGAGGCCAATTCAGCAATGACAGGGTCCTGCTTGCCCTGTTCTGCCAGGGTCATTAGAACCAAATTTATTAACAGTGTTCTTCCTCTCACAAACGTATTACCCATTTAGAAATATCTCTTCTTTTAAAAAGCTTCAATTTTAAAGTAGAAACATTTTTAAAGCAGAAAGAGCACTTTGAAAGAATACACTTGGTAATCCATTGGTAAAGAAACCACCATTGGAATGAAACATTAAAATGAGCTATATGTGAGTTTGAACATTTACTTCACAGAAAATAGAGAAAAGAATTTCAGGGCTTCAGATTCAAGAATGCCCGATACATTGC